GGCTGGGTTGTGTGTGGGGAGCGGGCACGGCTGGATGTGTGTGGGGACCAGGCTGGGCACCGTGGGTTGTGTGTGGGGACCAGGCTGGGCACGGCGGGCTGTGTGTGGGGAGCCGGCAGGGCTGGGTTGTGTGTGGGGACCGGGCCGGGCACGGCGGGGTTGTGTGTGGGTACCGGGCTTGGCACGGCTGGGCTGGATGTGTGTGGGGAGCGGGCCAGGCACGGCGGGGTTGTGTGTGGGGAACAGGCAGGGCTGGGCTGTGTGGGGACCAGGCTGGGCACGGCGGGGCTGCGCCCAGTGCTGAGCTCCTGAGGACCAGAGAGACAGGGAGCTCCTGCAGTGAGTCCAGCACAGGGTGATCAGGGCCTTGAGAAGGGACGACTGAGAGCACCTGAAGGGAGGGAGGACGGAGCCAGGCTCTGCCCGTGGTGCCCAACAACAGCACAAGGGGAACGGGCAGAAAGTGATGCACAGAAAGTTCCACCTGAGCATGTCTGGGTGACCACACACCTAACAGGTTGCCCAGAGAGGGGTGTGATCTCCCTCACTGGGGATATTCCGGAACCCTCTCCTGTGCCCTGTGCTGTGGGATGGCCCTGCTGGAGCAGGGAGGCTGGACCAGGTGACCCACTGTGGCCCCTTCCAGCCTGCCCCATTCTGTGATTCTGCACGGGAGGGGTTAAAGAGATCTTAACTTATTCTCTGTGAAAAAATTGGGTGGGTAAGGAGAAGATGTGGTGCAGTGGAAGGCACAGCAGAGAGCAGCCAGCTGCAGGGAGGTGGGAGCTGCTGAGAGCCGAAGGTCCAGCATTTGGCAAAAGTAAAAATCAGGAGAGGCCTGCTCCCCTACAGCTGTTCCTCCTCCACCCCTGAAAACCTCTCCATTCTCAGGAGAGCTTAGCTGGGAACATTTCACAGATTACAAACACGGTCAGCAGTGACTGTGTGGTTCTTGCTGAAAAAAATTAAGCCCCATCAAAAAATCCGTCCAGATGGACTCACACTTCAGTGGCAATGCCATAGAATGTTACATGAAGGGTTTGGCTTCCCAGATCCCTGCTATTGCTTTGAAAAAACACTTTAATAGAGCCATACTAAGTAGTTTCACTTCTGAAAGGTAAGTGCGTGTATGTAAGTAGCATGCAAGACCTATTTTTAAAGTGGCTTTGGTTTTTAATGCAGAAGAAAACAAATTTGGGATGATTTTCCCATTGTTCTTAATTATCTTTTTTTAATTATCTTAATTATCTTTCATTTTTTTGGTGAATTTTAAGGCGGGAGCAATCACTGGCAGTAAAAAAAAGCAGGATTCTTTTGTCATATGCCATGAAATTGTGTGCAATGAAGATGGATGGTCAGACTGGCTAATTAAAATTGTACATCCTGCAGTATTTTCAGAAGCAAGGCAATAAATTTTCCAGTGTGTGGATCTGTGTGCCGTTTGTGCATGCAGCCAACATGCAGACAGTGACCTGTTTATTTAGTCAGTACTGTGCTGCATTTAATTCTTATCAATTGTGCTTAATAAGGACTCTGATGCAGAGTAAAGTTGCTATTTTACAGTCACAAATTCAGTATTATGAGTTCACAATAGAAGAAAATAAGAAACAGATTAGACTCAAACACTTCAATTTCTCTAATAAACAGGTGGTAAAATTCTGCCTATACTCCAAGGATCCAATTGTGCTTTTATGTCAGTGATAAAATCTCACTGGCTTAGCTGGAAACAGAATTGCACCTGAAAATGCCAGGATGAGTTTCCATTACAGTTAGGTACACTCTTGAAGCTCTTCCCTTCAGGAGGGAAGAAAGCACCCTTGACAGGAACAATTGGTTGGCTGCATGTCAGCAGATAGTTTTCTTTTGCCATTAAAATTTCTCTTGCAAATTACAAGCAGTTTCTGTATTTTTACTGCATTTGGGAAAAAAAAAGCTAGAAAACAAGCTGTCCCTCTGAGATTAGGACTTCTTTCATGTAATACCTTTGTAAGACTGGGCCCATAATGAAAATGTTTCCCAAGACCAGAGAATTCTTTAGCTCTATCATGTATTTTTAAAATATGAATAGGTATATGAAAATCCTTTCAGGAATCTTTCTAACACAAATTATTTGCAGGGATGTCAAAAGTGTCTCACACCATGTTTCTTCAGGGAAAGATTTGTAAAAGGATTTCGTTTTGAAAAGCTGTTGCCGTTACTGAAAAGTTGAATATATCCAAACTCCATATTAAAATTTGAACTATGCTCATATGTGACTTAGTTTAGGTTTCCTAAGAGAAGTGTTAGGCTCAGATAACAACCAAAATTAATACCATAATGGGGCTAAGCACTTTTTAAATATGTGCTATATCCCTGAAAGCATTTCACATGTAACAGTGTGGCCTTCCTGTTCCCTCTTCTTTGACAGAGAGAGGAGATAAATTAACTGATGTGCATCTAAAAAGAGCAGCTTGGTTACATTTACAGCCTCTTCCACGTCAGTATGTCTGAAAACAAAGCAAGCCAGTGATTTTCAGATGCACTCAGCATTGGAAAGCCTAACTGGCACCCACAGAAAGTACAGGCATCTAGAATTTTTTTAAATGTCAGTTGTTTATTGCTATATCAGAAGAAAGGGGTGGTTCACTTAATTGGTATTTATTAACATGGCAGCATCAAAAGTGCTACAGAGAAGAACTCTGTAATATGACACTCATCAAATTAACATTTTGGAAGACCTTTTGTCTCCCCAGCATTTCATTTGCCACAGTGTTTTACACGTTACCCCTTTACAGCATTGAAGAAGCTCTCAGATTTCTTCATGGAAATCAGCCTGACTGGGTTCTCCAAAGTAAACTGATGCACGTCCATAAGGAGCAAAGAAAAGGCATTAGAGCCCTGGCTCTGACGGGCATCACGTCACAGAGATGTGGAAGGAGGGCTCACGTGGCTGACTGCTGCACTGGGCAGATAAGGGCAGGATTTAGGAAGGATAAGCCAGGACAGCAGGGAGCAGATCTGGCCTTTTACGTGGGACAGCAGCAGGGATCCATGGAGCTCTGCCTGGTCTGTAGTGACCATTTATGTAATGGTTTGAGAGCCCCAAAATCCAATTCCCGAGTCTTAGCCCCCCTCCCACATCTCAACCCAGTGTGAGATGGGTTTTCCAGACACCACACGAGATTCAAAATGGGGGGAAGGGAATATATTACAAGACTGTACACATAAACATTATAATACATCACACACACAATCTCAACATCTCTACTAGGATAAAACAGTATTTACAATGGTTCAAATCTCTTCTTCCTCCAAATAAAAGTCCAGGAGGGAAGAAGGAAGAGATCCTTTCCTCTCTTAGAGCAGCAGTGTCTCTGTCTTCCTTGCAGCCGCTGTAGCTGGATCTCTGGCAGCACACACGAGGGAGGCCTCCAAGCCCCTCTTGGCCCTTCGACGCAGGCGAGGGTCTTCTCTTCTGTGGGCTGTGTTCACCAGGACAAAGGTGAACATCGCAGTAAAAGTCGATCAGATTCTCCAGGAAGACAGCCAGCAGCAGCAGAGAGAACTGAACTCTACAGAGAGAGTTTTGGGTAAGAGTCCACCATGTAGATGCCCAAGTGTCCAAGAAGCGAGCTAATGAGGAACATGCTAACAACGAACAGGCAGACCAAGCTGCACAGGTCAAGGTGTCACAAGCAGACCTAGACTGGCAGCAGAAGGGAGACTTGTTCCTGGCTCGATGGGCCCATGATGCTTCAGGTCATCAGGGCCGAGATGCCACTCACAGATGGGCACGAGACCAAGGGGTGGATGTAGCCATGGATATCATCTCTCAAGTTATCCGTGACTGTGAAACCTGTGCTGCTATCAAGCAGGCAGAAAGGTTGAAGCCCCTGTGGTATGGTGGACGTTGGGAGAAGTATAAGTTAATTATATCACATTGCCACAGACCCACCAAGGAAGCAGCCACAGGATGGTTGGAAACATATTCAGTACCACATACAACAGCCCAAAACACCATTCTGGGTCTCGAGAAGCGGGTCCTGTGCAGACATGGCACTCCAGAGCGCATTGAGTCAGACAATGGGACTCATTTCAAGAACAGTCTAGTGGCCACTTGGGCACAGGAGCATGGTATTGAATGGGTATATCACATCCCATCTCATGCACCTGCTGCAGGAAAAGTCTGACACTGAAAAACTCCTGGAATATGTCAAGGAGCTAAGTAGTGTTACAGACACAGGTGACAAGTACAAAGTAGATATTGCTCAGCTGGAGGGGGTTTTTTCTCCACCCCTCTCCCTGCTGGGAGTCAACAATTCTTAGGATAATCGTTCCCAGGTTGGCAGACCTGGTTTCTCAAGCTGGGACAGACAAACAGGTGTGTCCACTCGTATGGGCCTGGACAATGTGATGAAACTCAGGGTTTCCTGCCAAATGTAGCTTTAGACTATTAGACAATTTTATACTTCAGATTCATCTTTTATAGTATGAAGTGGTTGACTGCCAGCCATTATTTCTTATGGGCCCATTAGGAGCCATCACAGGCAATGTATGTCTGGAGTTTGATTCAACCCCAGACAACATCCTGGTCTAACCAATTGCTCCCACAGAAAATATACACTCTCTGTAAAGATTCCAGGCCTCCTCGGGGCAAGCCGTCCTGCCACAGTTTGCCCCTGACTGCAGTCAATCCCCTCCACCTCATGGAGTGATAGTGCAGGTATCTCTT